GCAGCTCAGAGCCTCCCACGGTGCACTGATCACTCCTGGATAGACTCCTATCAGCTCCATGGGATGATGTCACTCCAGTCACTCCGACTTTCCCTCTGGGCTGATGCAGGGATGATCTGAAGCCGGCCGCAGAGAGCGTCAAAGGGTAGAACTGGCCGCGGTTCAAGTAGGCCATGGGTCCTTCTCCTTGGCGTGGCCGGAGAGATAACGTGGCCTCCAGGTTGTACCGGAAGCTGTCACTGTAAGGACATAATGGGCTCCATAACTGCCATTGGTAAGATGACTACTAAAACAATGACAGGTGAAAGTAAAATATAAAACTGAATGTTATTAAATATAGCCTTATACACTCTTCCTAATATATAGTTTAGGCTTTGAAGTCTAAATCCTGTGTGTGCCAATAAGGAAACTGGACTACAGTCATTGAACTCTTGCAATCCTTGACAATATTAATATTTGATAAAAAATTAATGACTTAAGACAATCTTTTAAAATGAAGGACATCCTAATCTAAAAATCAAATTATATACCAGCTTCTTTCATTTTAGAAAAACTCTTTAAGTTGATGCTTGTGCACTAGAAAAACTCTATTCCTGTCATATTATCAAATTAAAGCAATCACAGCCAAATGGAGGAACTTGTTAAAACTTTAAAACTTTCACTCTAGGAGAGCAAATTAATGCCGGTGTATGTGACTCAGTAAAAGAGGTCAAGCAACAGCAGATAGTCAGCATCACCTTTGACATACTAAACACATTACTGTCCAGAGGTAAATACTTAAATCAACATTTTAATCATGGGGGGGGGTGAAATGAGCAGATAAGAAGATTGCGAGGAACTCTTTAAAGACACTTATGACTCTAAACAAACTTGAGCCCAACATACACTCAACAAAAACTTTATTACTAGTGTCCCTTTTGCTTTCAGAACTGTGTTAATTCTTCATTGTGTAGATTAAACAAAGTGCTGGAAAATTTCCTCAGAGACTTTTTTTTCCACATTGCCATGACATGCCGTGATTTCCGGGGCTGCACATCCACGATGAACATCTCCAGTTCTACCCAAAGTTGCTCCACTGGATTGAGATCTGATAATTGCGGACACGAGTACAGTGAACTCATTGCCATGTTCAAGAAGCCGCTTTGAGATGCTTTGAGTTTTTTGACATCATTATCCTGCAGGAAGCAGCCATGAGAAGATGGTACACTGTGGTCAAAGGGATGGAGGTAGACAGCAACAACACTCAGGTAGTGCTGTGGAGTGTAAGCGACACTGTTGGCACTAAGGCATCTGCAGTGCAAAGAAAATATCTCCCACGCCGTCACACCACCACCAGCCTGAACCGTTGATTCAGTGCAGGATGGATCCATGCTTTCATGTTGTTTAAATTAGGTCTTAACCATCCACCTATTGGAGCCAAAATCATCAAAATCATCCAACCACGCAATGTTTTTTCCAATCCTCTATTGTCCGATTTTGATTCCTACTGTCTTCTTCTTAGCGGGCAGAGCAGCTGTAGCCACAACACACTGAACCACAGTTCAGTGTGTTGTGTGTTCAGAGATGCTCTTCTTTTTTGGAACAAGTGGTTATTTGAGTTACTGCTGCCTTCCTATCATTTCAAGGCAGTCTAGCCATTCTCCTCCAACCTCTGTCACTTAAATCACCTTTCTTCTTCATTCTGATGCTTAACTTGAACTTCAGCAATTCATCTTGACCATGTCTGCTTGTCTGAATGCATCCAGTTGCTGCCAAGTGATTGGCTGATCAGATCATATTGTGTTAACAAGCAATTGAACATTGCATTGCATTTTGTACCAAACAGCGTGGCCAGTGAGTGTGTGTCTGGGCCGCATAGATTCATTGAAACACACCGAAACCCTGGTTAACCTTAAAAAACACACATTGCAGTTTCTTTAGACTTAAACCCCCACATACACCATTCTTCCAAAGCACTGAATGAAGGTTAATCCAATGCTGAAAATAGTTCCATAAGTTCCGCCTGCAGTGTCATGTTAAGGAAACTGTGACTGACTTTACAGGTTTTATTTTGTTTATAATGTTTTGCATGTTTTGATTTGATAGCTTTACGCAGGATGCCCTTCGTGATGCAATGAATGTGGTTGCAGCTTCACAGAACAATCACAGTAAATGGGGAAACTTAAACGGTGTTTATGTTTTTTCCCCACATGAGATTTGTTGGCAATTTTTTTTTTAAAAAGCACCTAAAATTCATAGTCATTCTTCTCTCGGGATAAGATGTGTGCACATAAATGTTATTCTAATTTTTTGTAGTATCGCCATGTTTTTAAACTTACGCTGGTAGACTGTGGTGAAATTCATCGACTCCCGAGGAAGAATTTTTATGGTACATCTGTAAAAGAAGATACTAATGAGCAAACTATTCATGTAAAAAGAAATAATAATGAAAAAGGAGTTTGTATCAAATAAAAAAAAAATCTTATCAGTATCAACAAAACTTGTATAGCAACAACCAACAATTCTATTCAGATTAGGTCTGACCTCTTTTTCCACTGGCTCCTCATACGTGCTGTCCAGACTGCTCCTCTGTTCGTCTTTCAAATAGCCAGTGAGGGACATATCATAACAGCTTTGCTCATACAGCCTCCTTATTTGGTCTCTAGGCTCTTTTTGGCAGGTGCCACCAGAAAATGAAAGTGGCATGGGGGCCTGGCTTTCTGTCTTGACCAGAGCAAGAGGTCCATTCTCTCCACCTTTACCATCTCCTTCTCTAGAATCTCCTGCGTGGCTTTCAGCTCCATATTTGTAGCCCTGCTGGTGCTCAGTGGTTGTGCTGTTGTTTAAAGAGAGGTTAACAGGCAGTGACACCATAGCTTGAAGCTGGTGACCCACCATGTCCAACTTTCCGCAGTTGCTGTGCCCATGAGCAGAAGGCTCTGTGGGCTTAATGGCACTGGGTGTATACCGCTTCTCTCTGGGAACCTGAAAGGATTATGACAAGTCCAGAAGCAATTCAGACCTAAAATAAATCAGATCATTGTATGTGGCAATGTCCTTTATTATTCTTTGTTTCATACCTTATAGTAGTCATACAGCACCCCTAGAGCTGCTGGACTGTTCTCATCTCCATTGATGTTCATCATGGCCTTTGAGGCAGCTGTCAGTGGGTTCTCCAGGAAGATTTTCCATGCCTAAAATAAATCAGATAATTATAAGTGGCAATATCCTTTATTCTTCTTTGTTTCATACCTTATAGTAGTCATACAGCACCCCTAGAGCTGCTGGACTGTCCTCATCTCCATTGATGTTCATCATGGCCTTTGAGGCTTCTGTCAGTGGGTTCTCCAGGAAGGTTTTCCATGCCTCATCCTCACTGCCGAGCGGTTTGCGATGGGCCACCGACACTTCGTTTGGTACCACCACCACCAGCCTTTTGCTGGGAACGACCGATGGGAAAAGACAGAGAGGCATGTTATTACTACAAAGTCATTCTTTCATTAACAGAAGCCAGTGCCAAGCCACTAAAAATGCCCCAGGCTGTTTCTCACCAGACTTCACTCAAATTGCCTGCTCCATGTGGAGCATGTTTATTTAAGTCCACTTTTGCTGGTATATCTTTAAAAATGAACCAGTGGAAATGAAGTCATTCAGAGATATTGGCATGAAGATAAATTTCGTCTGACATCGTGGTAGTTCTTAATTTTCAAATTTTTGTGAAATCTTTCATAATAATGAAAGCATAAACGAAACCAGTAACGTTTATGTGCAGGTACGTGAACGGTAATTAACTCATTCTAAAATAAATTATATTAGTTTAGTTTAGTAATTTGTGTCCCTGGGGGTGTTTATATAGCATAGGCTCCAGTGCACATCTACTAGCAAGAAGACAAAAAATATATCTAAAAGGAACTGGACTAAAACTGACAGAAGTTATTATCAGTGATGCTAAAACTTTCTCTTACCTGTCCAGGTCCATGTTGCTTCAAGTCCCTGCTGTTTTCTAGGATTGCTAGAGAAACTGGACTTTCAAGTTAGTGCAGGTAAGTTTGTGTGGGAAACTGCAAAAATGAGCCCGGGAAAGGCTGGCTCTATTTAAGGTCTCACTAAAAACCGCCAATGAAATCCTCTGGATCCTCGCGAACACATTTCCCGATGCCCATAGTGTAAGAAGAAAATGTCCATATTAAAAACAAACAAACAAACAAAAACAAAACAAATCGATAATAATCCGTATAAATGGAGACAGGGGTGTATTCTGTTTGGAAAAGGTGATCAATTAAGACCGAGGTAGTACAGCACCTAAGGCAGGATAAACGAGGAAACGAAAGCTATCCCTGTGATTGGTGATATACTTCTAAGCGTCGTAGTACAGGACTGCTCCCCATTGGTGAATGGAAAGCAGAAAGGCGTGTCTTGAAAAATAGGTAAAAGGTGGACTGCCCAACGTTAAATTATATATAATGTACGTTGTTGTATGTACGTGTTGTTTTTTGGTGGGGTTCTGTGTGTGTTTAAAAACAAGCCCGTGAGCAGCAAAACAGAAAAAAACGAAAACACACGCTCTTCCAACTCAATTTGATATTTTAATTGGCTATATTGGTGATATTAACGGTGTCATAAAATGTATTTTACGAAAGCTTATGAATATCATCTTAATTGTTAATTGGCGTAAGAGAAAACTATGGTGGCTGTTCCTTCGTGTTGTATCGCGACACCTTGTGGCATGCATTTGTCTTGCACCTTGAAGGGAAAACTGTTATACATTTGCTGAGTTCAAAGGTGTTTTGCTATTCTTGTTGTTTTTCGGAAATGTATTTTTGTGGTTAAATAACTACTTTACGTTTTATTACGCCAATTTTTCTTCCTGGGAAATGTTCCTCCTGTAAAGAAAGATGGAGCCTTCATGTGCTGTCAGTAAAGCCCCCAACTTGATTCGTGTAGAACTGTCATGATTTGGGGTTTACTGGAAATCTTTGAATGCATCATAGTTCATGGTTTGGGCATGCGCACTAGTGCGGTGACGCCAAACGGCAGGGATAGGCGAGAGTTCCAGAGGACTCAGCGTAGTGCTGCTTCAGTTTAGTGATTGTCTTCACTGATACAAGTACTTTTTTTAACTGGTAAGGTATTTACAAAACGCCTAGTAGTACGTTTTAGTGCTCAGTGTCTACTTAAAGTCGTGTTCATTGTATGTGTCAATGTATTATCCAAGCTACCGGATAGCAACCGGCTAACTGAATGCTAGTGTCTCTGAATTAGTACGAAAAGAAATGTATGGTTACATTTTTTTTCTAAAAAAAAAAAAAGTTATTTTAGTGTTATCAAGATGTCTCCGAAGTGAGAAAAACGGTAGTTGAAGTTGTTAAGACTAAAGCAGCATTTTCAAATAACGTTAGCCTTGAATGGGCACTGCATGGCGAGGACTGTCCTTACATCACCCACCGTGGTCAGTGGTGGACGATATTTTAACTTAAATATTTGCTGATTAAGGTAATGCAATGTGGCAACTGAAAAGAGACATCAACACTTATTTTGTGACGTGCTTATTATTCGAATAGCTGACTGATTCTGGTTTGATGATAGTAAACGAGTTCGGCTTTAAAAATGTCGCTCAGAAACAGAGTTCATACAGTCCCTACAATACTGACCTAAATCTTATAGTCTGTCTATAATAACTTTGAAAATGAGCATTTAGATTTTCTTTGGGGAAATTTCCGAGATAATTGCCTGATGCATGTGACCCAAAAAGCAACAGTTAGCCTAGTTCCAAACGGCGTTTCACAGCCGCTGCTGCCTTGCACGTTTTGAAGTCTAGTTAAGTTAGGAGACAGGTATGCTTCAGCTGTAAATAATTAATAGTTCTTAAGCCAAACCCTCAGCTGCTGTCACTTCTCTGCATTTCAGGATGGTGTGGCTTTTATTCCCTTGGTGCCTTGCATTTCCCTTCACCTTCCCTAAAGTCATTGTATTAGAGGCTTGTCATCTTCTTGCTAGTGCTGTGTTGATTAAATTGTTGTATATTTTTGGCAGGTGGAACATCAGAAATGGCCCGTGGGCACCAAAAGTTCCAGTCCCAGCAGAAAAACGCCAAAAAGCAGGCAGAGATCAAGAAGAGTAAAGGCCATGACCAGAAGGCTGCAGCTAAGGCTGCTTTAGTATACACATGCACCGTGTGTCGGGTATGGGCTAAAGCTGACATTAGCAGCATTAGCTAACATTTAACCATGTAGTTAGGATGGAACTCACTACACAGGAGGCTGGCAAATCACTGCAGTGGATTTGATCATATTGTTTGCAATGTGATTAAGTCAATACCTATACCATATCTCATTTCACACTTCACTGTAACACTGAAGTTGGAAGTTATACCTCCCAGCCAGCTACCTTAAATAACTTCACCATGTTATGTGATTACTAGGTATGATCTCATTTCAGTAAAGTCTAGGTCAGTAAGCTTTCCTAGACTGAGTTAGAATTGCTTGGCATTTCTTATATTTTGTAAACAATCAAATATAAAACATTAAGAGTAGAACAGAAGTGAGTCACAAGCTGAAAGCAGATCACAACCGAGATTGGATTCATCCCAGTGCTGTTTTACCTGGACAGCATGGATTTGTGCAGGTTTATAATTGACAGCTTATTGATAAAGTATGCCAAGCTAACAGGTCATAGTAATCTTACAGCCCCCCCACCCCCCTTCAAGTTTCAACTACATCTCTACGATTGTTAGAAAGGTGTGATGGAAAGTGGTTAAAATCCCTTTCTAATACCCTCATACACCTTTTGCTTCTCTTTTCACACCTGTGCCAAGGACGGTCAGCTTTTCTTGTCACTGCCGTCATCTGACACACAGGTGGTGGCATGCAATGCTGCTCGGTTGGCACAGCACTGCCCAATGTTTAGCATAAATGACATCAGCTTCTGCTCTTCCTGGAAGAATGAAGCGACAAATGCAGGCAATTTGTTTTTGATTTTACCTGCATTCAGTGGGACAAACAGATTTTCTGTCTCTGAGACCATTTCACAGTCATGTTCTCTTCAGTGCTTGTCCAGAATCGGACTGCTTTTGAAATTTGTCAGAACTCCAGGCGATTTTCCTCTTCACCAGTCTGTGTTTGCTCCTGGATTGACTGACCAGGTTGAAGTCAAACATGAGCTGTCATGCTACATCCTGTTTACATGTTTTAACTGGAAAACTCACCAGGCAACGTGACTTTCTGTATTACCTGTAAATAAGTTTCTGTGTTTCCTCTAGCCATTTATCACTTATCCAAGCGATTACAGAGCGGCAGCAGCTCAAAGCCTTAACAATGACTAAACAAGCTGGTGTTTGTAATGTAATCTAATATCCAACCAGTCGAGATCATATTGTGAAACACCTTTTGTCTCATATTATGGTTTTGCTGATATATCTGAGTAAACTGATGTCATTCTCATTGATGTCGTCTTTTTTTTTTTTTTTTTTTGTTCTTTACCAGACACAAATGCCCGACCCGAAGACCTTTAAGCAGCACTTTGAAAGCAAACATCCAAAGTCTCCAATGCCCCCAGAGTTGGTTGGTGTGGAGGCGTAATGGATTAACCTCTTTCTGTAAGGCAGTTGGAACCAACTCAGGACAGGCTTCTACATTTTGAGGTGTTTCAGATAATCTTCAGTACAGCTTCAGTTATTGCTCATGATGATTAACTGATGTATGGGTGTGCTTATGTAGGGATTTTACACAATCAATTGGACTGAAGACAGCTACCCTCTCTTGGCATAAATGTATGTGTTCCACTTTTGATTGTATGCAATATTTGCAAAATCTGATCATTTCAAAATGTTATGCTCACAAGACTAGCTTGTCCATGGGCTCCACCACCATCTCAGGTCTCCCACTGTTTCACAGCAAGCTTTGAATACAAGATGAATTGGCACTGGCTCAAATGAACAAAGATGATGATGATAATTGGAAGTTATCTGCCAAATCCAGTGTAATGTGAAATCCATTATGGGTTTTGACTGAGATGGATTTGTGATGCAGAAGGGTTGATGTCAAAATAATAGTTATCCAGAATGTGACTAGAGTTCATTAATGTCCTTGCAAAGTCACATTCATAACCACTAATGCTGTGTTCTTTCTATTAGATTCAGATTTACTTCTAATCTGCACTGATTATATATATCTATATATATATATAAACACATATATTTTTTGGCTTGGTACCATTATTTTTTAATGAGTCTATTGTTGTTGAAGTGAAAAATGTGTCAAATGTACTGTCCTGCACAGTTGCTGAAATTGTGCATTGCATTTACCCCTCAGATTATCATGAAACAAATTTTGTGTCAAATAAGTTTTTGTCATGTGCAAAATTTGTAAAAGCTCTGCAGACAGGGCACTACATGTCTGATCACTGCAAAGCTTTCCATGTTCCTACTCTGCTGCTGCAGTAAACATCTGGATATTTACCTTTGATCCTATTATAAGAGGTATGTCGACTGAAAATAGGTTTGCACTGGGTGTTGTAAATGACAACACTAATGAACTCCTGTCCCCAGAGTTGGTCATTGTAGTAATACATGTGACATAATTGTGCACAGCTATTGTATGTATTCTGCAGTGTAACTTGTCTCACTGTCATCTCTATGGTGTATGTGAAAACAATCCCAAGTGCAGTCTCGTGCTCTTTGGTTTGTTTCAGCTCTGAACCTGCAAAGTCTAAACTAAATTACACCGTACATCATCTTACTTTACCTTATTTTATATAAGTTGATCATAGCAGGCAAAGACAGTTTTAATTCATTGGAAGGAACTATTTTCAATACATTTGGACCTGCTGGTCATTAACCACTGACATTGTAACACTGCTAAAGTCTGGACTGACAACCAGCCATGTTTTTACTTTTTGTAATAATCATATCTTTGTCCACAAAATGTAATGTATAGCCTTTGAATAAAGTTATTTTATATTAATATTACCAAGTTGTGTTTTTAACTTTGAAAGTTGCTAAATTCTGCCTTAGGTTCCCCTACAGTAGGTGGAAACTTAATGGAAGCTCAGCTTCTTTTTTTCTGCCGCTCCTCTTAGGGGTCACCACAGCATCTGCTCCATCTCATCTTGTTCCTTCCATCATTTTCTGTTACTCCAACCATCTGCATGACCTACTGTGGGCTTCCTCTTAACCGACAGCTCCAAATTCAGTATTGTTTGTCCGGTATCTCCACCGTCTGTCTTCTGTACATGTCCAAGCCATCTGACCTTGAGATGTCCTTCATATTTTTTCCAATCTGGTCAATCACTTGGCCTCCTGCCTTTCTGTAAGTGCCACTGTCTCAAAATCATACATCATAGCAGGTCTCCCTATCATCTTGTAAACATTCCCTTTAACATTTCACCTCTGACACTCACCCCACCCTCCCTACACTCTCTTCTTCATCTCTTTTGTGTCGCTTTTGCTTCAAAATGTTCATCTCATGTATTTATATTTACCCATCGTCAGTACCTCTACTCCTTGGAACTTCACTTTTCTGTCTGTATCCCTCGTATTTGCTCTAGAAGAATGCTCCGCCGAGTAGGTGGAAGAAAACAGCTTGTCCACCTGCTCTCTATGCTCGCTACAGATCACAAAGTCATGTGTAAACGTCATAGTCCACAGAGACTCCAATCTGACCTTGCAAACAAGAATGAGCTCACCACTATCTCACTGCCCTCATACCTGTCCTGCACCACCCCTTACATACTTTGCCAGCACGTTTCTTCCCCATTTTTCAGGCATCGTCTGTAGTAAACAATCTGGTTAAAAAGTCCAATGATCTTTCTTCTAGACATCTCCAACCCTCCACAGGTGTGTCATCTGGATCAGCTGCCTTTCCACTCTTCATCCTTTTCTTAGCTGTTATTCCTTCCTCGTTATTATGGGCAATCAACATGATTGGACAGTTTCTACAATTTTAATCCTGCCGACTATTTGGTGTGTTTGATATATTTCTTTGGTATATTTCTTCGTCTGCCTCCGCTCTTCCATCTGTTTCAGGTAACACCAACAAATTTAATCTGCGCAATTGGTTTCATTAGCTTCTCGGCTCATACCCCATTATGAGTCAAAGATCTTCTGCTCAGCTGCACTGTTGATGGTAAAATCTCTATATTTATGAACCAGAAATGTAGCACAAGCATAATGAGTTCCTTGCTTAATGGGAATGTTACATAAATTGGTACACAGGTGGGCTTTTTTGTTTGTTTGTTTTTTTTTGTATTCATACTTCCTTGTTAATGCACACATCCTGTTGGTAATTAGGGTGGAAAATGTCAGCAGAATATTAGAGCTATAAAATTGAAAAGGCTATTATAGTTCACACTCTTTGCTTCCTCTAAGAGTGGTTATTTATTGATTTACTGTAGTGTAACATCTACAGAGTGAATTGTTTCAGGCAACCTCTGGCTCTGTATACACCGATGAGGAAGCCTGGAGCTTATCTTGTGACTGGTGCACAGTAAATAGTGGGGTCAGAGTGGTGTTCTGCTGGACCAACAGGTTTTGTGAAGAAGGCCTTAAAACAGCTTTTCTCATTGTCTCTTCCCTGACTACAACCACGAAAGACCATATACAAGATGTGAGACTGCAAAAGACTTGATTTTATGTTGGGGTTATTTCATAGTATGATATAAATTTTTTACACAATGATATCACAATTGCTCATGCATAGGTTAGCACATTTTGATTGAAGAAAATATAGCCATTCCTACATGTGTAGAAATGCCATTAAAGTGATATAAGTTAGAGTTTGTTAAATATAATTTCAAAGTTACAGGCGTATAAAACTCCACGTGAAAGTGTACTCTACTACAGGTATCATGTATGTGACTACACCTCCAGATTTATATTACACATTGTCCAATCTACATACTTAAATGTTAGTCTGTATTTTTCACTTTAAACGGATTATTTTCATTTAATTTGTCTTTAATGATCATTTGAGTTTTTTTGCCATTATTTATAATTTATTCATTGATAAATTATCCTGCAAATAACAAACTCTTGATACATCACTCACCAAGGACCACGTCAGCATTGTGAAATCTAAATACCCTGCAGGACTTTTAGGAGTACCTACCTTTAATAAGACATGTAGATCCAAGATCAAAATTTAGTTGTTTTTTTTTTTTTAATCCCTTTATTAATTGTCTAGTTTAGTTCTGTTTTTATTGCTTAATTACACCAATCAGACTCTATTGTAGCACTTTAAGGTTTCAATCAGAGATGTTACATAAGCTGAGTGACCCTGTGACAACTGACTTTTTGCAGTGTACCCATTCATCTTGTGCATGTGTGTGCATGTGCATTCAAGTTCTGTGGATAAGGTTGATGGACTGAATGAGAACTCACCCAACCGGTTACATGTAAGCAATCACTCAGCTTAATCTTATTTTTTTTCCCTTTCTGCGAAATGACTCTGGTTTGGTGCTACGCCCTTCCTGGACCACAAACTGACAAGTGTGAAGATCTTTTTTCTTCTTTGCATTTATGCCTATGATTTTCTACACCCAGTACTATGTGCTCTGCTCTTAAATAGGTTACAAGCTTGAAATCTTGGCCCAAGGGGAAAACATGTGACAGGGCAAAAATAGCTTTACTCTCTCCCCTTGGAAACCAACCAGAATGCAGAAATAGTAGTTTCTGTTAAGCAAGATATACTGTAACCGTGTCCTGTGTTCTAGTTTGTGATGCCCTCAGCATCCTTAGCAAATAATCTTATTGAAAATATTTTATTTTGTGGAAATATCACAGAGGCATTTGAGTGAGGGACATGGTTCTCCTAATAAAAATTGATCTGTACATATATATATATATATATATATATATATATATATATATATATATATATATATATATATAGCTACTTGAGTGTCATTCAGTGACTGACATTTCCTCTTAGTGTTTGGTGTCTGCAGTCTCTACTCTTATACAAAATGATGATATACAGTAAGACAAAGATCTGTATGTTGGATATATCACTGATGTTAACTGTCTTATTAAGAGGAATTCTCCGCTTGCTGGAGGCAGTAAAATAAGCTTAATCACAAGTGCCTGTATCATAGCGGTAAAATAATGAACTGCAAAGTCTTCAAAGGGTGCTTTTGTCGACTACATTATATGCACTCATTTGCCTCACAAAGACTGGAGAAGTAATGGTGAACTACAACTTCCATGTTACTTTGCTTTGGTTGTCATGGTAACGTTTGACGTCAGCCCTCCTTTTCTCCGGCAGTGCCTTGGACTGATGTGATTGGAAGGAAACCCCGTGGACTGCATTCAGTCGGGCGGCTGAGAGAATCAGCTGTGGCTTGGTAACACTGACATCTGCCAATACTCAGGTATGAAATGACTTGCAGCTTTTTAAAGTGCATTTTGAAACTCGTATCATCTTAAGGTCTTCTGACTTTTCATTAATCAGACTAGCTATAGAGATTCATTGTCTCCAGTTGGTAGCAGGGTTGCGTCTTCCGGCGACGCTCATCAATCTAAAGAACAATGGCATGGCTAGCTTAGCTAACGTTACATTGTGGGATATGGCTAATGTCTGGTTTCAAAAGGAAATGGCAGACGGAGAAGGCGTGTCTGTCGAATAATTGAAGCTCTGAAATTTTGGCACTCATACAAACGGCACATTTTGTTTAAAACGAGGGTATTTAGCGATTTATTAATTAAGCGGTATGATGCTTGTCATCTTAAATTGAAAGTTTTTACAATTAGGTGCCTAGTGTTGAAAGGAAAAACGAGGTTAATTGAAATGTATTTTCTTGTGTGCCACCAGGCGAGCAGCTAGCTTAGTTCAACTGCGATACACACCTTTTTAAAGGCGTCGCGCCTACTCAGCTGTCTCCTGTTTTTCCTTGTATTCTTGTAGTTAACATTGTGTGTAGATATTTGAAATTGTGAGCATGACGGGCTACCTATGAAGTAGTCACGTTTATGCAAGACTTTTGCTTGGCGTTACTCTTTCAGGAAATAGACGGGGCCATACTTGAAACGAGTCACGCGGGCCTGAATGTAGCGGTTGTTTTTTTCATTCACTGAATTGCGTTTCTACGGTGAGATTGTGTGTTTGAGTTTGCGAGAAGCGCTTTTGGGTCAGTATCGACTACAATAGTGACTTTAATGCCAGTATAATGTGTCCAAGCACGCTTTACTTTGCGCACTTTAGCTTCCGCTTTTTGGGCAAGCCACAGGTACAGGGAAGGGTGTGGTGTGTGTACCGGAGGAACAGAGAGGCGCATCAGAGGCGAGCCAGCAATACAGGATTGAGTTCTTATTTTTGTCCGTACGGTGTCCACTAAATTCTCTTGGCATTATATTATTCTTATCATCCCTTCTGCACATCTATTTGCTGATTAAAGTCGATGCATATTAACATGGTGCATTCTGCTCCTAGGCGAGGGGTACACTGACGGGCAAAGATCGACTTCCTTGTTCACACACTTGTGCTCTTACGGTTATAAGAAGCTGTTTACTTACGGATAACATGACGGTTACAATAACTTTTAAAATTTCCTAGCTTATTTGGCCAAAGATTGGAACTGAAAAAAGAAATGCATTATTTTCTGTACGTTAGGATGGATCTGAACACAACACACTACACTACATGTACTGGAATGGAAAAAAGGAATTGATTTTTGTGTAAACCCACTGGCTGTTTTTGATAGGTCAATCGGATGTAAGCTATTGACATAGTAATGACAATTCCTATGTGTTGATGTGTGCATAGTCTACATAGTGCTTTAGGCTGTAAACTCTAGCTGGTATTCCACAGTTCTTCTGTTACAAGTCTACAGGATCTCACATTGCCCTGTAATTTGCAGGGCTAATACTGTACAAGATGCTTAGGTGGCTACTTGTAGTGTTGCTGTGCAGGCTTTGTTGGCATATTAATTAAATAGATCTACAGCTTTGTTTACTGGTCTTATTTAAGCACAGATATCCCTTAAACAGAAATATCTGTTTTTTTCAGTCGGTCACAGTCTTTCTTTATGACTATAAATAAATCCTTCAAATGACAGGAAAAACTTCCACGGTATGCATCATTGTTGTTCCTTGTAAAGGTACTGAAAGACGGGGGGGGAAACTCAATTAAACGTGTTAGGTGATGTGTGCAGTTTTTTTTTTTTTTTTTGTTTGTTTTTTTTAGGACCCACATTCATTATTGTATTTCCACTTTGACGCATTAAATGACCCTGAAATGAAAAATTGTATCTGCTGGTGGAACAGAAGAGTTGTCATACTACTTTTTAACTTAACTGATTTCAACCTTTTCTATGTTCCCCATTCTCCAGTGAACAGTCATGTCTGAGGCACCTCAGAAGGAACTGGTGCAAAAGGCCAAGCTGGCCGAGCAGGCTGAGCGTTATGATGACATGGCTGCTCTGATGAAGTCTGTGACAGAGGAAGGCCTGGAGCTGTCAAACGAGGAGCGCAACCTGTTGTCAGTGGCATACAAGAATGTGGTGGGTGCCCGTCGGTCCTCGTGGCGCGTGGTCTCCAGCATTGAGCAGAAGACCGAGGGCTCTGAAAAGAAGGTAGCCTTAGCCAAGGACTACCGGGAGAAGATTGAGACTGAGCTGAAAGAAATCTGCCATGATGTCCTGGTGAGATTCATTTATTATTAATTCATTATTTTTTCTTTTAGATTGGGGGGGTTAAGAGACATGGCTGAGATTGTTTGGACATTTGCAGTGGAGGGATGGTGGATGGTGTGGTACTAGGAAATGGGCTATTGAAGCTGAAGCTAGTAGTGATGAGCAGAAAGGCCTCACAACAGACTAATGGATGGAGGAGATGCAGAGGGTCAAGAGAACCTTTGAAATGATAAACTCAAAGTCATGAAAATTTGTTACACATATTAATTTTTCACATTAATATGTTGCTGAAATCTTTAAAGTTGTTGAGGCTGTGGTGATTTTCCACAGAAATATTCCACCAAAGGCACAGGAAAAATAATGGGAATTTGCTTAAAGATTAGCATGAACTGTGTTCCCCAGGTTTGGGGGGGGGGGGGGGGGGGGGGTGTAATAGAAATAATTCAGTCTAACAGTACACCATCCTTGCTGTGACCTCAATGCTAGAACATAATTGAGTTATTGTTAAAGATCATCTCGGCAATAGTGGTTTGCATTTGACCTTACTGATGTATGTAATGAGTCTATCAGCATCTTCTCATTTGAATATCCTAACATACTTTACTTGTCCTCTTGGCAAAGTCAGCTTTGCTGTATTTTTACTTTTGTACCATTGTGGAAAGGGTGTTTATCTTGATGCCCAAAAATATGATTACAGAAGTATTCTGTAAATATTACAAAGATTGTAATGGAAAGAGCGCGTATCTTTAAGACTAGTACTTATACAGCACACTTCTCTCCATTTTTTTTTTAATCGATTAATGAAAGCACTTTCTATTACAAACTTCACCAAATCACTTACACATTTACACACATACAAGTACATTTTTATACACTAAAGCGCCTTCTAGCATTAACACTCCAATGGATGCATAAGGGAAAACTTGGGGTTCAGGGTCTTACCCAAGGATACTTTGATATGCAGAACAGAGGAGCCAGTGATCAAGCCACTGATCATTTCAATTGGTGGAAGACCCACTCTACCTCCTGAGCCACAGCCACATCTTAATAAAAATAGTGTACATGTACATACGTGTACATACCTTAATAAAAACAAGCAGGTGAGATGTTAGAACGCTTTTATTTTTATTTTAGTGGACACTCAATACAATAGACAGCTACTTGGGGTTTGTTAAACCTGAGTGGCGAAAAGACCGCGAGGGGGTTGAAAACGATGTGCCGGGAGTCCGCTGTTCTTGCCGGCTGTAATAATCCTCGACCTCGCTGTCTGCTATGGAGCTGGCGGGTCACAGACGTCTCCGAAAACGTCGGAGCGCGTTTGGAAATATATGATATCTTGATAAATCGAGCATATATTTGAAGTTTACACAGCTACATTCTCGCTTGAAAAGAACTTAATAGTTTATTTTGTGACCCAGAAAGAGTAATATTTAAAAGTTTTTAGCCCCGCTTGTCCGCCATTGCCGCGTTTGAGTTTTGGACGAAATGCATTCTGGGATATTTAGCTGTACCAAGTCCACACAAGTCACCACCGATGCATGCTCGATAAAACGGGCGGAGCGAGAACACATCCGGGACTTTTTCGCGTTCTCGGCTTGATGCGTACTTCGAATTGGAACAGTACTTGGTCCGCGACTGATGACGTATCACAAGTACACGAGAAGGCAAGTACGCATATTGAGAAAGGCCCTTTATCTTTAGTTACCAGGGACAACTTGAGTCTCTACTTTGGACTGTCCAGTTGAAGTAAACTCGAGATTCCAAGTTTAGCATGCTGGGAATTAGGGATGTTCCTGGCGACTAATTTCTTTGTCAACTAAATGAGGCAAAAAAAAAAATCAAGTAACTGGCTATTTAAAAACAAAAACACTCAGATTTCAGGTTAAATTTAAGAACCGTTCAACTACAAAAAAAACTCCAAGCAAAGGCTTTTTTTAAAACGTTAGTCACATTCTTCAGTAATGAGTCATGCTGCCCAACTGTGAGGCACCTTGCAATCATGCACTCATGTACCCTGGGGGCTCCTTTGGGTAGGACAGCACCTGTCCACCTCAGCTAGCTCCTTTCGATGTGGAGGAGGAATGGCTCTCTTCTGAGCCCCTCCCGAGTGACTGAACTCCTCATCCTATAAAGAAGGGAAAGCACATCCACCTCTCAAATAACGCTCAGTTATGCTGCTTGTCTCTCTGATTTTTTTTTTTTTTTTTGTCTTTAAAAGAACTAACAGTAATGGTGTTAACAAAAAAATCAGGCCAAGATAAATGTTTTTTTGGCGTTTCTTACCAACTACGCTTGATCTGGTGACAGATGTTTGCATAACATTAGGACACGCTATTCACCGGCAGTGGTTAGAAAGTAAAATGTAAGACAATTAGATTAAACAACTATTACATCTGGTACCAGCTAGTGACAATAGTAACTAGAAAGTGCATTTTCTGAAGAAACTGCAGTGTGAATGCTGAAATCTGAATGTATCCACTGAAATGAATTAATTGCTGAATGTTAAGTTTTAAATGTTGAATGAGCTGGAAAATACAGAATTTTTAACCTGAAAACAAAAGTGCAAAACTTTCGAAAGCTGATGTTCAGACAGAAGAAGTTGGAAAATAGCTGAACATGTTTAAAATGTAAATTAGAAAAAGATGAGTAATAACAAAATAAAATTTAGAGTCCGAAAACATCTGAATGAATATTAAAAGTTCATATTCTTTGAATCACTGAATGACTAAAATGTGATCCCTCCACTTGGCTCCACACAGTTTAAAAAGTTTACAACTCTGAGCTTTGAAAGACACGCTGTTGGAAAGAGAACAACAATGGCTACATTTTGAGGGTAAAATGATGGCTGTAGAGCAAACACTGTGGACACAGCAGCAGTTGAAAGAGAAGTGTTTAAGATGAATCTTGGCAGAGTGAGAGACAGAGCTAGTTAAGCAGGCAGGTGTGAGCCTGGTTGCTATAGTGACTGCACCCAATGGCTCCATACACACGCACACAGACATGCACCTCACTTCTGCTGCTTAAAATAAACAGAAAAGTCAGCCCGAAACAAATCCTTCCCAAATGAAAAGTACAAGTCGTATTGACAAAATTCTGACCCTGAAAGAGTTGGAGGGAAGAGGCTGTGCATTGGTGACATTTATGAAATAACCATAACACCTATTACAATAATAAACACATTGGATGAAAGAGGGCAGCGATGGATACGTTTTGAGTGTAAAATCATATCTGTAGAGCAAACGCTGTGGACACAGCAGCAGTTTTAAGAAAAGATTTTAAGATAAATTTCCCCCCTCCTCCCACTCTACCAGGAGTCTAAAAAACATACGGAATAGATAATAAAATTTTAAAATAATAATAAAGATTAGAAGAACAATACTGTGAATGCATTCACAGTAGCATGAATGCTTGAAAAACGCTAATGATTAGTTGACTAATTGTGCATGTCCCTACTGGGAATATAAATGCACACATGGTTATCTGTTTGGAGGGTTACAAAGCCCTCATCTTTCTTTTGGCTTGATCAGCTTGCTGCATCTACATTCTGTTACCAGATGAAGTATTTGTATTTTTGAAAAAGATGCATTTGTTAACTCCACTAATAGTTTACTTTTTCTACTGATCTTAGCCACTTGTTTTTGTGTTAACTATTTTTATAATTTTTGCAAACATATTAAGTACTCTATCCATCTGTCGGAGCTCTGCTTCTGTTCATCCCTTTCCCTGCGCATTATCTGCCCGGTGACTCATTGAGCCCTAATCCTATAATGACAGAGGCTGAGCTACAAATGTTCTGGCTCACTGCTCTCCACTTCCGCCAAAAAGCCTTATGGGGACTGAAAGAGAGAGCCAAATGGGCACATAAGGGGTGTGGGACAAGTGCACCAGCAGTGCGTACTTTAAGTGGACTAGTTTGTGTGAGCTTTCATCTGGCCCAGTCTAAAGACATGTTTATTCCTGTTCTTAGTAGCAGGACAAAAAAAGCTGTTGTCACAGACAGTGCAAACATTACTGAGGATGCAAAATATTTCACTTAATTTCTTCTTTTAAGGTTGGTTTTAAGCAATGTGATGTTAGTACTTGTTACATAATATAATTGTAGCAGTGAGTGCTCCTGCCTCATGGTGCCTGCACAAACACGTGTGCACACACCCTGATGCTCACTCTCACTGGCATGAATAAGATGAGGAACCACGTGTTAACTGGAAGGAATCTCCATGCAGACATAGTTTGTGCATTACTGTCATGTTTAGAAATATTAAGTTATTCCATATTTTAGTAATAACTCTCTGTTCTTAACTTGGGGATAGAACTTAAGATAAAAATGTAATGAAAGCAGAGTTGCTGCTACATTGTTATTGGGTTTGTTTGTTTGTTTTATTTACTCCCCATCATGCCATGGTTGTAGTTTTGATTTTAGCCTTGCCAGTGGCCCAGACCTACATTGACATCCCAGAGGGCTTCTCTGTTCAGTCACATCAGTGTAACAGCACTCACAAAATGCTTTTAGACCATTTTTGTAATGTATTTCCATCTTGCAACATTTATTTTTCCTAAGGAACAAAACTCAGCTCATCATGTTTTTGGAGGTCATATTTAAGACCTGTGAAAACATACAAATCAAGATGTTATTTTAATGGAGGTTTAACATTTGGTCACCAATGCTACAAGGAACAATTCTGCTTTGCCATCTGTAATCTCTTTATTGCACAGCTCTTGTGAGAAGTGCAAATGGCCAGATGGAAACTACATTAAAATTAAAGTATTCATTCATCGTTGTATACAGGCGCTTTGAGTACTCCGGGAGAGTAGAAAAGTGCTATATAAGAATCAGTCCATTTACCGTTAATGTTTGATATCGTTTCATTGCTCTTTAATATAGCACATTACCAAGGCACACTCCCACTAAAGAAAGGTATTCTGTTCCCTGCCTGCTAGTATTCATGTTACCCTCAGAACTAGGGTACCAAGTGGTGCATCCTTGTGTGGTGAAGAGCCGAGCTGGGTTCTGAGTGACCTACTTCTAAGCAAAAGCTCATCAGGAGTTCAGCAGCCTGGCTTTCTCCTCTTCCTTCACCCCTGTTGCTTTTCATCCACGCCCTCTTTTTTCCTCTGCCACAAATTTCCCATCTCAACCATCTTTACTCCACACTTGTCCATTCAGCCTGTCCACGTTTTTGTTTTTAATTGGACTAGGCAGAAATACCTTTAGCTTCTCCTGTAGGCTCAGGAAACAAGTGATGAGTAGAAATTGAATATTAACAGCACGTGATGTAAGAATACCGTTTTTTGTCAATGCATTATGCATACATTTACAATAAAGGTCACAGATGACTGCTGCCGTTTTGGCTTCAATGTTGTAAAACGTGCTTGCATATAGGACTGTGCAATATGACCAAAATGTCATATCCCGGTATAAGATGTCTATCGTCCTGACAACGATATAAATGACAAAAATGTAACATTTTCTGTAAATTCTGTGAATCTCGGGCAGCTCGACTTGAGTGAAGTGTTTTCAGCTGGGCGTTGTGTACCTGGAGTCGAGTGTTTCAACCGATGCGTGAAACTATACATTTTTAGACATAAGTTGTAATGGCCGCAATTTTCTTTGTGAGTATTTATTACACGGCGTGCTGCGGGGAAAAGCCTGTTCTAACATTTGAGTCTAAGGTTTATTTTTTGGCACCTGATGGCTCTTTCTTTGCTTCTCATCTGTAAACACTGCATACTGTTTCACGTGATTCAATTTATTTTGAAAAGTCTCAACAGGATCTTGAGCTTTATTGTGAAAGGTTTGTGGAAAATAAACAAGCGGACGGCGGCGCCACGTGATGGTTTTACCGTCGTTGTTGCTAACGACAACGCATAAAAACAGTTGCTTGTCCGTCCGTATTGTGGTTATATTAAACATAAGAGAAATAGAGAACTTTAAGAAATTAATATAGCCACTACAGTGACCATCAAAACGATGAAAAAATATTGCCGTAAACAGATTATTTTGCGACACCACGAAACAAACGATAGCGGAAAATGAAACAATAGACGTTTTATATCGTCGTCCGATATATATCGTTATATCGAACAGCCCTACTTACATATATTAGAGAACATGTTTTATATGCACTTTGAATCACCTTGTTGTTGAATTGTGCTATATAAATAAACTTGCCTTGCCTATTATATTAAATATCTTAGTCCATTGTTTTCTAAAACTTTGCTGTCTGTTTTTGTTTTCAAACAGGGTCTCTTGGACAAGTATCTTATTCCAAACGCTACAGCAGCAGAGAGTAAAGTCTTTTACTTGAAAATGAAAGGCGATTACTATCGCTACCTAGCGGAGGTGGCTACAGGAGACACCAAGAAAGGTAAGCTCCATTTCAGTATGGTGATGGTTTAGATCTTTGGCTGACTGAGATAAACTGAAATATACATATTAGATAAGATATCAGTTAACTTGTGAAAGTATCGGAGTGTACTGAATGACTGTGCTCTTTTCTTTATACTATTCTTTTGTAATTATATTTAAACCTTTTTCTCTTAACACCACAGGGACTGCACTTTATTTTGTTGACTTGTTACAATGACAATAGAGATTCTAATTCTGAAGTGTCAAAATGTCCTCCTTGAGTAAGAGGTAGGATGAATGTACTAAGGGCTAAAAGATCTTTGGTAGTTGCTGTCAGTTTTTAGAAAACTTTGAAAAAGATTACATTGAAGCATAGGTTCTTTTATTTTTATTTTTTTTTTACATACGATACCTTTTATTTGGTCTACAGTGACCAGCTTGGATTACTTGAATATTTTTCTTGGGATCAAATCATTATGGTCCTTTCAGGGATTTCCTACTTTTTTTTTTTTTTTTTGACCCAGATGGTTGGGGGAAAGAAAGCATGCCAGTGTCTACAAATGAGACCGATGCATTCCCTCTTTGATGGTCTCTTTAAAGTTACTAAACTCTACTAATACTGGGAACATGGCTGAAAATTGTATTTTATACTTTTATACAGTCTAGTTTTATATTAAGTTCTGTTCTTTTTAAAATGCATAATGGAAGTCTGTGCAGGTCCCCATGGGTTAGACCAGTCAGATGTGTGTGTGGACAGGACATCTGTGGTAAATAGTTTGAAAACGCAGCTCCACTGCCCTTTCCTTTCTCTTTCAGGCATCATTTCAAATTCACAGGAAGCCTACCAAGCCGCCTTTGATATCAGCAAAAGTGAAATGCAGCCCACACACCCAATCCGTCTTGGTCTTGCCCTTAACTTCTCCGTTTTCTACTATGAGATCCTCAACATACCTGAAGAAGCCTGCAAGCTCGCCAAGCAGGTAAACTCATTACTCCACATAGCTTCTGTTTACATTTCTGAAGATTTTAAAGTGCTAACTGTAATGTTATTTCTCTGCTATCAATCTTTGAGGACTCAAGTGTAAATTTGCTGTTAAATACAAATGACAGCTAAAACCTGTGTACACAAACACAACAGCTTGTTTTAGGCTATCGAAATCTCACCGAACTGTTTTTGAACCCTGTAGGCCTTTGACGACGCCATTGCAGAGCTTGACACCCTGAGTGAAGACTCATACAAAGACAGCACACTAATCATGCAGCTATTGAGAGATAACTTGACGGTAAGTTACATTTCTTAAATCTTACTACTGAAATGACATTTTTCTTCACAAAATGATTTACCTGACTCAGACTAAAACTTTGTGGTCAGCTCTGGTAGTCCCAAATAAGTTATTTAACATAGGTCTGTATTTTAACATTCCTTTAAGATTAGATGTTAATGATTTTTGCTGTCCTTGCATGTTTGCCTCTCCTCTGCCGGGTCATTAATTCCTTTCTTCCCACTTACTGCTCCTTCTCTTTCCACAGCTGTGGACCTCGGACAACCAGGTTGAAGGCGAGGATTCAGAGCCAAGAGATTGAGCCAGACCCCCGTAGTCATCCCTGTTGTCCTGGCTCATCTTCATCATGATCATCAACACTGAGACCACCTCATTTTGATCATTGTCATCCAACTCTTTCCATCTTTTTTTCTATCTAAGGTCTCTCAGTACTCATCTCATTCCCATCGGTTTACTATTCCTTCTTTTTGTAGTAACTGTGGGGAAAGGGGAGGGGAATTCAAGTGGTGTGGTGGGAGGGTAAAAGTGTTTGGGTTTAGATGTTTTTGGGTGTTGCATTATTAAGGTGCTGGGTGAAAGGGCAGTTTCTTAAACTCATGAAACATGCAGCAGGTTAAGTTTGTAGAAGTAAGAAAATATTTAAGCTGTATGTGCTGTACTACTCATTAACGGTGCTGTTTTTGACCATCCTTTGATGACACATTTGTGCTTGACAAAAACAGGAGCTGCCTCCTTATATTTGAGGTGACAACAACTGAGTTTGTACATGGCAAGGGGAATAACAGCAGAGGTAAAGACAGTGAAGATGTGATTGGGAGAAGGAAGCCAAGATTTAGTTGGAAGACAAGGTTACATTCTACATACTGTTGCTCAACTTTCTACTCTTACTATCTTTTTTGTTTGTTTTTAGTAGACTGCTCTTGTATTTTTATGCATCAGTTATGAGGTATAGAAAACTTTGAAGAACAAAAGAGCACGAGCACACAAGCTTGTATTGTTTTTGTTTTGTATTGGCACGGCAGTTTAAAAAAAAAAAAAAAGAAAAAAGGAAAAAAAAGAAAAAGATCCATCTGCGTATCTAATTAATGCTTTTTCAAATTAAGACATTTTGTTTTGTTTTTTCCTTTTTCTCAGTACTTGCCTGAACTGCATGGTGGTAAGAAGTAGTTTTTGGAGGAGTAAAGAAGGTTGTTGTTGGGCTGGTTAGCTTTGTCTGTCTTTGGAATTTTCTTACAGGACACCCAAGCATAACTGTAATTTTTGGGGGAAATGTGTAATTTCATGTAAGTGGAATAAAAAAAATAATTAAGTTTAATGTGTCCATTTCATTGCTACATTGGTGGGATTTGTGTTACAAGTTACCACTATACCCACCTTTTTTTCCACGCAGCAATATAAACCACATGCAGAATCTAATATAATGGATTAGTTACAAATACCGGTAAATAACTACTCTACAACACAGACCACATCTGGAAATTGGAGATGGAGAAATTCAAACACTAAAACGCCTTATACACATCTGAAAGCTATTTGATGGGATTTAGAAGTACACGTGTTGTTTAGCTGAAAATACTTGAAAAACGAAAAATTTGTGCTGCTCGGCTCCTTGGGTGTGTCTGCTGCTTCACTACCTTAGCTGTGAGCGCCCAGAGCACAGCCATGTCAGAGAAATGCTGAGTTGCTGCCGCATCTTTCAGAACCAACCCTCCAGTGAACACGAGTGCAATAAATGACACGGGAGTGTTCCTGCAGACGTTTCCCTCAGCTTATCTTCCTTGTAGTGTGACAAAGGTTACATGTTCACTGCATGTGAAGGATAACGCTTTATATTTTAGATAATGTCTTTAGTTTTCCAGGACTTCGTCCCAGTAATCAGAAAAGGCAATGGCTGACCGAAACGTGATGGAAGTAGCGTTGTTTAGGACACCAGGTAGTCTCTGCCCCAAGCGTCCGTGGTCTGTGCTTTGCCACCACAAGTATGCCCTTGTTGTTCCTTTTCCCCTCGCTTTTATAGGCGAATAATCACAAGAAATTCGTGAATACACGCCAATTAGAATACAATGTTGAAGACATAACTGAACATATAAGCCTCGTAAGGTGTAGAAAACAGTAAATCTTAAACGTTTATGAGACAGATTATGCGTCAGATTTTTAATTGTAAATTAAATATAGAGTTCAAATATCGCGAGATGTGTGACGTCAAGCATTGGTAGCAAACGCGCCGTGGTTTCGAGTGGAACAGGGAAACAACCTCCGCCGACCTTTCTTTCAATCCTGTAATCCGTCTGCGTAGGGTGTGCTCTGGGGCTAGTCTCGGCACACATTTTATTATGAAACAAACCAAAAGCTAGAGAGCACACGCAGACATATTTTTATAAGAAAAACAAAAATCGGTGAAGCAGGATTTGATTTGCCAACTCAAGCAACGCGAAGAAGACGCTGCCAACGGATAAGAAAGAAAGACGGAACGAGAAGAACGTTAGCAAGCTAAGCTGTTAGCCTCATTGTTGAAAGCGTGGGCGATTAACTTTAGCCAGGTATATTGTTAACTACTTGTTTTTTACGTTGAAGTCAGTTGTCCTTTCAGGCATACGTGTTAATTATAACATTTGTTTTGCAAGCTACCGAAATTTGAGTGCTGTAAGTAATTGCGAAAATTGAAATTTCAATTTGGGCCAGTCACATCGGTTAGGCCACGCTCCGACATTTTGCTAATCACGCTAACTAGCCCACGTTGTTAACGGTTAAGCGATAACTGCCTGCATTGGTGTAGAGACGGATATAAATAATCTCTCAAATCTTAAAAGGCTAATTTTGGTTGACGATTGTCCTCAAAATATCGAACTTGCAGTTGAGACGTAGCCTGAGAACACGCTTCGCCAGCCATGAATCCCAGCGCGCCTAGCTACCCGATGGCCTCCCTGTATGTGGGAGACCTGCACCCAGACGTTACCGAAGCCATGCTATACGAGAAATTCAGCCCGGCTGGACCCATCCTCTCCATTAGAGTATGCAGAGACATGATCACCCGTCGCTCCCTAGGCTATGCCTATGTGAACTTCCAACAGCCAGCTGACGGTAAGTTTACCGCGATCTATGTAGAGCATGTAAGGAAATGTGGTACTGACAGACTCCATTTTGAACATGTACCGTGCTACCTCGTTTTATCTTTAATTTTAAACATGTGCTTTATTAAATTATCAACATGCCATACTACTAGAATAATTAAATCACGAAGAAAATGGAAGTAAGTGCAACATATTTGTTTATTTGTTTTAGCCGAAAGAGCTTTGGACACCATGAACTTTGATGTAATAAAAGGCAGGCCTCTCCGTATCATGTGGTCTCAGCGTGACCCCTCACTGAGGAAGAGTGGGGTGGGAAACATCTTCATCAAGAATCTGGACAAATCCATCGATAACAAGGCCTTGTATGATACATTCTCTGCATTTGGAAACATCCTGTCCTGCAAGGTATCATCCTGTGGTGCCATTTCTTCTGGCTGTGTTTTGTATATGAAATCAACTAATTAGCATGACTAATGATTGGACCGTTTAAAGCCTGTAGAGTTTCAATTGTGTGGAATGCATGTTGTTTGTGAATGGTTTTGACCTCCTAAAATCTTCCTTCTCCAAGGTGGTTTGTGATGAAAATGGCTCAAAGGGTTACGGCTTTGTGCACTTTGAGACCCATGAAGCTGCTGAACGGGCCATTGAGAAAATGAACGGCATGTTGCTCAATGACAGAAAAGTGTAAGTGTGCCTACTGTTGTACAAGTCTGTGTTTGAAGGAGTGTGATCAAAGTTGTGTGTGACTGCATCTTGTTCTCCTGTTTTGCCTAATGTACTTTGTTGTTATAGAGCTTAGTTTTAAATCGTGAGGGAACTGAGCTGATAGGATTTATTACATTTTGGTTTGAAGCAGTGAAGTTCACATATTGCAGTAGCTCTAGAGTTATCACTCCTTATTACGTAAGCTGTATGTTGTTTTCCCAAAATGCTCTCTTCAATGTCTGACGCTCATTTTACCAACACAGGAGGACTTTCACCCCATTGTATTTGATTTAAACTTTATCAGAATATATTTTGATGAAGTTAGAAAATAAATTTTGTATGTCATGTTATTAACAGATTTGTTGGACGATTCAAATCGCGTAAAGAGAGGGAAGCTGAGCTTGGAGCACGAGCCAGAGAGTTCACTAACGTTTATATCAAGAACTTTGGCGAGGACATGGATGATGAGAAGCTGAAGGAGTTGTTTAGCAAATATGGTAAGATGGCAAGATTTCAGAGACACACTTTTAATAATCACAAATGCTGTTAGTATGATTTGCTGTGTTATGTGTTGATTAGCTCTTGTGTTTTGTAGGGCCTGCCCTCAGCATCCGGGTTATGACTGATGAAAGTGGCAAATCCAAGGGATTTGGCTTTGTCAGCTTCGAGAGGCATGAAGATGCCCAGAAGGTTAACAGCTTTGTTCTTTCTTGGGCGGCGGGGGACTTTTGGTATCTCCAGAGGCTTTGAAAAAGGCACTTGCTGTAGTTTATTCTTTGAATCCACACCTAATCATGACTTTTGTTTTGTTGTAGGCTGTAGATGAAATGAACGGTAAAGAACTGAATGGCAGGCAAGTCTATGTGGGCCGTGCACAGAAGAAAGGGGAGCGGCAGAATGAGCTCAAACGCAAATTTGAGCAGATGAAACAGGATCGCATGACCAGATATCAGGTTTGTTGGCCCATTTCTTGGTTAGAGCACTTTCATGCACCACATTGTGTCACAAGAACAATTTAAGGAAAGCTATCTTGCGTCTGATTGGTGCAATATTTAATTTCATTGCTGTGATGTTGGAGCATAACCTGAAGGACAGTAGCAGGAATGCTGAACTACCGTCCAACAGTTTCATTGTGATTTTCCATGTACCAGGGTGTCAATCTGTATGTGAAGAACCTGGATGATGGCCTTGATGACGAGCGTCTGCGCAAAGAATTCTCCCCATTTGGCACCATAACAAGTGCTAAGGTAAAAGCTTTGAGGGGTTTATTTGTGATCGTGAAATTAACAAGGCAATAATTAGACAAAATGCTAACCTATTTTTTTGTTTCCCTAGGTGATGATGGAGGGTGGACGGAGCAAAGGCTTTGGCTTTGTGTGCTTCTCTTCTCCAGAAGAGGCCACTAAAGCTGTAACAGAGATGAATGGGCGTATTGTGGCTACAAAGCCACTGTATGTGGCCCTTGCCCAGCGGAAAGAGGAGCGTCAGGCTCATCTAACCAACCAGTACATGCAAAGGATGGCCACTGTTCGAGCTGTGCCCAACCCTGTCCTTAACCCATACCAGCCTGCTCCACCTTCAGGATATTTCATGGCGGCTATCCCTCAGGTGAGTCAACAACACCCTATTTAGTACTTTTCCATGACATAAAACTCTGTTTTGGTCAACTGTACCAGTGTGCTGTGTTTTTTGGAGTAGCAGTAACTAATGACATGGCTTGATTCTTCTCAGGCTCAGAACCGTGCTGCATACTACTCTGCCAACCAGCTGGCCCAGCTGCGCCCCAGCCCCCGTTGGGCTACTCAAGGAGTGCGTCCTCAGCGTAAGTGATTACATGTAGATTATACGTATGCAGCCTTTACTTAAAAAGAGCTAAAGTCTAATGACTGTTTGCTTCCCCCCCATCCCCCCTTTCCTTCTTTTAGACTTCCAGAACATGCCCAATGCTATGCGCCCAACAGCACCCAGGCCTCAGGCCTTAAACACCATCCGTGCAACCGCCACCACCAACACCCAGGTCCCACGCATGATGGCTTCTCAGCGTATGCGTAAGTATTTTATCTTTGACTTGACAGGAATCAGATGCATTTAGTCTCCTCACGAGCCGATGATGAGTTGATGCAGTTTTGATCAGGCTCCTCTTGCTGTTGTCATTGCAGCCACACAGGCGCTCAACCAGCGCCCTGCCAATGCTTCAGCCGCCGCAGCCCCAGTGCGTGCCATGCCCCAGTACAAATATGCTGCTGGTGTGCGCAACCCTCAGCAGCACATGGCCTCCCAGCCACAGGTCACCATGCAGCAGGTAAGATATCAGTGGATGTAATTCATAAATATAATTGCTGCAAATTTTCTAAATGTACACCTTCAGGATATTCAACATTAAATGCAGTTGTACTGATTAATTTTTTTATAATTATTAATTTTATTTCCCCTCTCCCCAAGTGGGGTTCAGACTTTAGAACCTGGCACAGTTATGTGCTGCTTAATAAGCAAAAAGTAATACAAGTATTCATGACTAATATGGGTCATTGTAATTCAC